ATGTATGTCTGCACAAGTCTGTGCCGTGTGTGTGTGTGTGTGTGTGTGTGTGTGTGTGTGTGTGCATATGTGTGTGTGCGTGCACACGCACCATGGAAGCCAGAAGAGGTGTCAGGCCACCTGGGACTGGACTTACATGTGATCTACCTGCCACTGTGTTCCCTCTGGAAGCACAGCCAGTGTTCTTAACTTCTGAGACATCTCTCCAGGCTCTGTAAGGTTTTTAAAGGAATGCATACCTTCCTGCCTCTGGTCCCAATAAGATTTCTTTTTCTTAAATAAAGGAATGTGTGAATGTATGACTTTGCAAAAGGCTTCCTTCTGGCCTTGGTTCTCCTGTGTGTCTGTGTTGTGTGTGCATGGGGGTAGGAGAGTGAGTAGATCACCGGCTAGGACAGCATGCCAGGCCCACAGTGCAGACTACAGTAACATGTGGTCCAGGGAGTTCTTGTCTACCTCAGATGAAGATTTGATTGTCTTTCAAAGTAGAGCCTCTTCCCTTCACTCTCTGCAGGTGCTGAGCTCAGGCCACTGTGCCTGACATTCTAACTTGCAAGGCACCTCTACCGCCTCCCCCCACCGCCATCTTATTTTACGTGTGTAGGTGCTTTGCACTGTGTATGTATCTGTGTGCTGCTTGTGTGCCTGGTGTCCAAGGAAGCTAGTGGACATCAGATCCCCCAGGACTGGAGTTTCAGATGGTTGTGAGAAGCCAAGTGTATGTTAAGAATTGAACCCGGGTCCGGTAGAAGAGCAGCCAGTGCTCTTAACCACTAAGCCACCTCTCCAGCCTACCTTACCTTACCTTCCGTGTGCTCTCTACCTCTGTAAGATGTGGGTGGTGTCTGCTGAGCTGTTGTGAGGACTGGTAGCCACGAGGCAGAGCCTCACACTTGTCAGCGCCAGCTCTCCTTATAACAAGTTCTAAGGGATTATGAAAGACATGTTATTGAGAGTAGCTCCACCTACTTAGTGTTTCTTGAAAAGCTGCTTTGAGAACTGGACCGTGCAAGATGGAACTTTTGTTGTAATTTAAGAAAAGCAGTGCATTAGAGAAAGCTGCCAGGAGACAAGGTTCAAACAGAGGGTTTTGTTGTTGTTGTTGTTGTTGTTAGGGAATTAGATCATATAAAGGGGAAAGGAGAGAGGGTAGTCTGGCCTCCTGGGATAACAGGAGCAGCAGGAGAGAGGAAGGAGGGAGAGGGGGTGGGGAACAGAGAAAGGGAGAGAAAGAAAAAGAGAAAACGATGGGAGGTGGGCGGGCCCTTTTAAAAGTGAACACCGTGAATGTGCACAGGTGGTGCTCTTAGTGGCTGCAGCTGAGGGCGTGTCCTGTCAGAACCCCAAGCTCAGGCCAGTACAGATGCCTGAGTACTAACCTTTCCTCTCAGAGTTAAGAGTTTCTTTAGTTATGAAAAAATTATAATGGTCAAAATCATGGCTCATCCTGTCTTCTTCTCTTTTAACAACCAAAATGTAATATGGTAAAAAAAAAATCATATATTTTATCTATTATTCTAGGTTTTGAAAGTGGTTCTAATGGTTTCACTTTGGCCTTCCCTATGGTGAAGGATGGGATTAGAAAGCCATTAACATGAATTATGCCTGCAGGTTATAAAATGAACACAAAGTAACTTTGCTAAAGGCTGCCCATGTTGTGTTTGTTTGCTTGCTTGCTTAGAGACAGAGTCTCACTAAATAGCCCAGGCAGACCTCAAACTCACTCTGTAGCCCAGGCTGGCCCCAAACTTCCTTCTGTTTCAACATCTGCTATCCCTGCGTTTTAGTTATATATAGTTTGGGCGCACACTAGCTAAGTTCTACATGGCAGCCCACTATATGCCGATTTGGTGAGGGGTCTGCTTCGTTTCATAGAAAAACTCCCAAAACTCACCTACGGGTTCTTGTTCACAGACAGGAGAATTAAACTGTCAAGGATTAAATGATGGATGAGGGTGTGGCTGGGCGGGTAAAGAAAGTACTTGCCTCCCAAATGTGAGGATCCGAGTTCAGACTCCCAGGAGCCATGTCGAGCCGGATGGGTCGAGCCGGATGGGACAGTGTGTGTGTTCCTAAAGCACTGTGGGAAGACCAGATACAAGACTCCTAGGGAACTCTGGGGCCCGTAGCATGATATAAGGAAGTAGGCAACGCCCAACACCCAAGGTTGTGCTCTGGATTCCATATACACACAATGGGATTTATATGTGTACACACACACACACATACACTTACACAAACACATACACACACAAACACATACATAACCACACACAATCACACACACTCACACACACATATCCAGTAGGCACTTGATAAGTTGCCTAAATAAGTGAGCAAATGATTCAATTTAGACTTTACGGTCATATCTGGTGTTACTCTTATATCCTTGGTTCCATATATTGTCAATTTTTTTTTCCTCCAGATCCTCAGCTTCTCTCCCCCAAGTGTCTTTGGGACCAACATGCCAAAACATTCGCACCGCACTAGGTTGTCAGATTTTTCCAAAGGATTAGGAAACCCTGTCTCGAGCAAAGATACTATGTGGTTTGATATTAGGACGAGTCTCACAGAGATAAACATTTGGAGCCAGGAAAATATTATAGCATCAAGCAGAAATCATGCATGTGCAGACAGCATGGAACATGGACAGTTATTTTTAAATTGCCTTCATGCTAGTACAGCTGTGAGAATTCTACATGGCAGGCCTTGGTAGGACCTCAGTGTGTAGCTTTGGTGGTACCTGCTTGGATAGCTTGGTGCCAGCTCTGAGCTCCTCTGGGGTTCTGGATGCACTGGCAAGTAATGCTGAAAAAGAAATTTGCATTTCAAAGCTTGTGGGTATTGTGTAGAACTCATTCTGGAGCACTTCCTCCTTGGCTAGGCCTTCCTGTGCACAGTTCTGTCAAGGCCTCTGGATGAGAAATGGATTTCACCTCTCCATTTCAGTTCCGTCTTGCTCAGAAAACAGCCCTGTACACGGGCCTTACATGCGTTTGTCCTTCTCAAACTCGAAGGTCAAGTCCACTGGGAGCATGAAGGTCTGTGCCTCCACAAGCTACCTGCAAAGCTGCAGTTAGCAAGCCTTGGAGGAGACAAAAAAGGCCCCATAAATTTCCAGGAATATAAAAAATGGAAACCAAACCATGCCAAATCCATGTGCCGGGGATAGCTTCAGAGGTGCTTCCAAAATTCTACTTTTGTTAATGTAACCAGAACACAGAGCTACCACTGCTGTGGTGATCCAGGGTTAGCCATCTGTGGGCTACCCATTGTCTGTGGGCTAGCCACCATCCTTTCTTTGTAGGGTAGCCATTATCTATCATCCATGGGCTAGCCATCATCTCTGGGCTAGCTAGCCATCATCTCTAGGTCAACCATCCGAGAAGACAACCATATATTTCTTTGTTTTCTAATGAAGGTGGGTTTCTTCTATTTTAGAAAACTTTTATTTTATGTTTGTGTGTCTTTTACATGCATGTATGTATGAACATGCCTGGTGTCTACTATAGTAGTCAGAAGAGGGCATTGGATCTCCTGAAGCAGGAGTTACAGATGGTTGTGAGCTACCACGTGAGTGGTGGGAACTGAACTTGGTCCTCTGCAAGAGCAGCAAGTGCCCTTAACTGTTGAGCCATCTCTCCAGCTCCTAAACTGGTTTCTTTGGTGTTTACCTGTGGCGTCTGGTTCCTATGACTCTCAAACATAATTTACACACACACACACACACACACACACACACACACTTACTCATACGTGCACATGAACTCATGCACACACGAAAGACACTGTTTTTTTTTTTTCCTAGAAAGGCATGTTTGTCATTTTGCAAAGACAGAGACCGCCTTACTAATGGTTCCTGTGGCCCGTTGCCAGGGTCCGTGGGGGACAACTCACCTCACACACAATTCCATTTTCAGGTCACTTTCTGGGTTCTCTCTGACCACTGGTCTCCCTTACCTCAGCCTCCACCTTCTCTGCTCTCCTGACTGTGCCTTGGCCCCCATCACCACAGCCCCCAGCACTCTGGATCCTGTGTTCGGCACAGGGATGATGATCCAAGAGGGGATTTTTCACTGAGGCTTCAGAAGCAGCAGTCTGGCTGCTGCTAGCCCTGTTTACTGACACTCAGAAGGAATCAACACCAGCTCTCTGTTCCCAGTTGGCGTCTGGGACTCCCAGAGGGAGTCTGGACATGACAGTTTCAGAAGGAGTTGGCGAGCAAAACAGAAGCCAGATGGCAGCTTGGCTCCCCAGTTTCTCCCCGGCGTGGGCACCAGCATGGTCTCAGAGGGCAGCTTGGCTGCTGAGCTGAAGCAACAGGGGTGTTTCACTCAGTTCTGACGGTGGTATGACCTAGAGAGGCCAAGGTGCCGGATAGCTCCATGTCCACTAAGCCAAGGGCTCTCTCCGTGGGTTAGAGGTGGCCTCATCCTCACATAGAAGAACTGAAGCAACGGGAGGGGCGGTCTCTTCCTCTTTCTTTATATTTGTTTGTCGTGTGTGTGTGTGTGGTGTGTTTGTGCAGACATGCACACTCATGCATTGCCTGGGAGGGCCAGAGTGTGTTTCCCAGTCACTTTCCGCCGTATTACTGAAGCACGGGGCTCGCGGATGGGCTAGACTGGCTGGGCGCCTGGGACTGCGGGTACGCACAATGTGTGCTCGGCTTTTTAGTGCGCGCTGGGCATCCGACTCAGGTCTTTATGTTTGCGCATGCGATTTGCCCACTGAAGCAACTCCTCCGTCCCTCACCTTCCTCTCATCCCTCCGTCGCTGGCTGTACCCTCGTGGCCTGAGCTAAAATCCCGTTTCCTCTCTATACTGTTGCACAGGGGCTTATGGCTGCAACTTGTCGATTCGGCGGCGTGCCACATCCCGACGCCTGTAATTCTTTGCTAGTCTTTCACACATGGCCTCTCGTGGAGCCCCTCCGAATATCACAAGCCTTGCTCACTGGGTACCCCACTAATAGAAGAATCCGTCTTCTTCTCCCACAGGAACTCGCCCGATGAATGCTGTGTGAGCAAAGGTGGGAAGATGCTGGGCAGCCCTGACACCGTGGGGATGAGCTATGGCAACTACATGGAGGAGAAGCACATGCCACCCCCCAACATGACCACCAGCGAGCGCAGGGTGATCGTCCCCGCAGGTCAGAGGCCTTGGGATTTCACCGTGGTTAACAAACCACTCCTTGCAGGGGAAGATGGGCCATCTTCTCTGTCGCCTACAAGTCTCAGTCAGGGACAATATGCCCACCATCCCATCCTGGGGCTGCTGTCTGCTGCACCCGTATCACTTAGCCCCGGGGCAATCTGTGTCTGGTTCTTCCACCTGCTCCCCCATTACCTCCCTCTCACTGGAGTCTGAGCACCTTCTCCAGGGCACTCTGGGTGTTAATCAGGGGCGGGTAGGGGCACACTCCTTTGTCAGAGTGGTCAAAGGCTGCACAGGAGAGAATGAGACTGGTTGAGTCAGCATGAGCAGGTCTTACTCATAGAGGCTCTCACTCAGTGATGGCTGGACAGACCAGAGGATGCTTCTGCAGATGGGCTCCAGTTGGACTGGGTCGAGGGCTGTTTCTTCACTCCGAAGGAAGCTTTCCTTCAGCTGTTCCTTCTTCGGGTTGCTTCATGCCAGTGTAGGCAGTTATTCAGTTAATGGTGTTGGTAAGACGCTGAGCTGTGGATGGTTTTGCAAGTTGTAGAGTTTTCAGTTATTGGTCAAGCTCCAGGTATGTGTGTTCGAATTTCCACAGATGAACACACACACACACACACACACACACACGAGAGAGAGAGAGAGAGAGAGAGAGAGAGAGAGAGAGAGAGAGAGGGAGGGAGAGAGAGAGAGGACAGCTATTGTATCCATCCCTTCAGGGGAAGCACAGGTTTCCAGATGTTTCACTTGGCACCTTTAGGGTGTGGACAGCTCACACACATGGAAATCTCCAGACCTGGGTCTGGTTCCTGGAGCTCCTGCTAGTTAGATGCAGTGTCTGGTACCCAATGTGAACTGAAGCCTTAATTGTTCTCAAGCATTTGTTCTTTCCATCACTGCATGCTAACATTCACATCAGAGAGGGAGGGAGGGAGGGAAGGAGGGAGGGAGGGAGGGAGGGAGGGAGAGAGAGAGAGAGGAAGGAGAGAGAAGGTTTCTCTGTGAAGCTCTGGCTGTCCTGTAACTCGCTCTGAGTCCAGGCTGGCTTTGAACCCAGAGATCCACCTACGTCTGCCTCCCAAGAGCTGGTATTAAAATCTTGTACCACCACCACCACCAGACAGGCTTCTGTGGGATGGAGGCTGCTTTTTCATTATTGGTGGAACGTGCCAGGGTGTGTTAGTGGAGTGGGCTAGTACAGAGGGGTCAGAGGGGGCAGAGGGGTCAGAGGGGGCAGAGGGGGCACCGTCTTCATGACGTTCTTAAAAGTTGCAAAATGCCAAACAGTGCAACAGGACCTCTGCTTTTAGCAGTTTGTAGCATTTTTGAAAGATTTTTTTCTTTTTTGTTTATTCCCTAGAATAGGTGCTAACTTTTAGCTGTCCAAACAGCTCTCTTTTTGGTGCACATTTTAGTTTTGTTTTTGAGACAATCCGCTCAAACCCTTTGATATCAGTATCTGGGAGACCGAGTGGCCACACCCGTATCTTCTCTTGCCCTACATGCTCTAGGCTTTTCCTGTGTTCCATCATCGCAGACAAAGGCACTTATGCGACTTTGTTTCTTTCTTCTCCAACTCCAAACACTTACGGTGGGAAGCCCTGGCATTGTATCTCACCCAGCCCTTCCATGTTGGACCACCCAGGAAGTGTCCACTGAGCATCTGTTACTAATATTCCAGTCTCTTTGGGGACGGTTAAAAAGTGCTCAGGTAGCCATGAGAGCTCAAGTTAATGACTCTGATAAGTGTTCTAGAATGTCCGAGTAAAAGGAGGCAATGTAAAAGAGAGGTTGTGAAAGTTTCGTTTGTAGCTATGACGATCCCTTTCCGGCCTCCACCATTTGCCTCGGCCTCCTCTGTTTCTCTTAGCTTCTGCCCTCAGCCTCAGCCAAACCCAAGCTCCCACGCATACTGTTGCACACATCATTTCTTCAGCCCAGTGCCTGCGCTGGGCTTCTTCCTTCCTTCACTAACAAACTCTGCTCATCCTTCAAGACCTCTTGTAGGTTCGTTCCATGTACATGCTTAATTCTCTAACAAGTTGCTTCTCTTATTCGACCAATCATTTCTTACCATGTTTTTGTTTCACCCTAAGGCATGTGTACTCTTATATATAAGTAGAAACTGACACTTGATGTTACAACAGATCTGAGATGCTTTAAGAGCCATAAACTACAGACCAGAGATGTGTGACCCAAACTACCGATCCACCAAAATTCAGAATCCGTGCTGCACAGTTAAAAATACGCATGCCACAATGAAATCATGCTGACGGCAGGTTCAGCCAAGAGGCTGTTGTGAAGGCCCTGCTGTGGCTCTGAGCTTCCCGGTAGGCAAGGTGAAAAGTGCAGTTGGGGAAAACGATTGAGAAGTTGTTTTATGGGAGAGGTAATACTTATCTCAGCACAGAACCCTGGAAGCCGTGTGCTTGGAGACCACAGAGCTGACCGCCTACCTGCTATGGCTGTGACTCTGCCTTTCGGGGGCAGTGGCCCGAGTCTTCCTATGTGTTGTGAAAAGGCTGAGTGAGTTTCACCAGAGTCAGCCCCGGGAAGGCAATGGCAGATCACTGGGACTCTCCGGTGGCTTCATGTGACAGGGTCTGGAGTTCTCAGTGTGGGAAGGGACTGGCGTGACCCTCTCTGAGAGTGACATTGTTGCTGAGCTGGGCCAGGAAGCAGAACTAGAAGCCCCTCCCGGGCTCTGACAGCTGGACAGCACACTTCCATCACACCAGCGCAGAGGCTGTGTGTGACTTGAAGTTGTGTGAGGTACCCACGGTGTCCTAATCAGCAGAGCTGCGGGTGGTGACCGCAAGGAAACCCTGTTGAGCAGACGATAATCGTCGCTTATTAAGTAGGAATCGGGGATCGTGGGAGTTGCATGGTGATTTGAAATCACAGCCCCAGCTCTCCCCCTCAAACTTGAGAAAATAAGAGCTCAGAGAGAGGAAGGCACTGCCCCAGAGTCACCCACACAGCTGAGTGGAGCCAGAGCCAATACCCAGGCACTGGTTAAAACCCTGTAGCCAGCCCTTCGTCTGTCCTTGTCTTGTGGCCACCAAGCTCTCTTAGTGACCTCACCCACTTGTCATGTTTCTCTTTGAACTCCTGCTGTGCTGACATCACCAACCAAACCACCAGACAAATGAGAACTGAAACCCTGCAGTCAGTGTTTACTTTATCTGTGAAGTTATCAGCTGGTGGCGGCTGAGGAAATGGCATGGGGGTCGCATGTAAGACTTGAAATTTTACAAAATAGAACGATGGCAGCCGACACCTACTGCGTACACTTGGTTGACAAGCACTCAGACACAGCAAGGCCCTGCCAAGCTATGGTGTGGGGAAAATCCATTGCTCTCACCCTACTGAGGAGGAAAAACTCAAGAGAGCTGCCCTAGATGCCCCAGCCAGTGTTGAGGAAAGCCAGAAGTCTAGCTTGGCGTTGTATGACTGCCATGTAAACTCTTAATCCCATATGACGCCAACAGAAACACCCAAAAACAGTGGAGTCTGCTGAAATAATGAGATTGCGCAATGGCCTTTTCTACGTAGGTGTGAATGAAGAAGAGAAGCATTGTGGGAATACTCAGGAAGCTATAGAATTAGTCTAACTTGTGATATGAGTTGAGGGGGAAATTAGATTTTCAAGCAAAAGTGAGACCTTTCAAGCAAAAATGGGCCTTAGCCACCAAAAGCTGGTTAAGTACAAAGTAACAAACACACCCTCTTCCCTGGGTTCACTGATGCTGCTGTGGCGAAGGTGACTTAGCAGAGAGGGGGTTTATTTCTCGGAACAATCCCGGGTTACAGTGGCCCGAGAGCGTGAGATGGCTGTCACATGCGCACAGGTACCGTTTTTATTTGCTTGCTTGTGCTCAGCACTCTCCACTTGTAGAAGGTTCTAGAACCCTTGCCCAGGCAATGCTGCTGCCTGGAGGTGGCTGGGACTTCCCAAATCTGTCAACTAATACAGTCTCTCGCTGATACGCTCATGGCCAACCCAACGTAGATAGTCCTCCACGGGGACTCTTGTCCCATGTGATTCTGGGTTGTGCCAATGACCATCATGGCCTCCTAGACGGGCTGGGAACAAGTTGGATGGCAGTGTGCTATCCTGTAGGAGAGGGGGATGAAATGAAAATAAAAACAGATCAGATTTGGGTTAAAACAACGGCTCACAGTGGTTAAGAGCACCGGCTGCCCTTGCAGGAGACCTGAGTCCTTAATTCCAGGGAATCTGATGCCCCTCTTCTGGCACCGCATACACACGGCGCACGGAATGTTGAGAGAGGCACCGATACACATAAACTAATAATGAATAACATGAATCAAATCAGATGCCAGGAAGGCGGTGGAAAAAGCTAGCCAATCGAGAGCCACAGGAAGGTTTTAACCTAGAGGGAGTGACAAGACAACTCACCCAAAGCGATTAGGGGTATTTATACAAAATTTTACACACACACACACACACACACACACACACACACACACGTAACTGATGGCAAGCAGCTGGAATGAGGCATATTAATCAAAAGCTAGCAAGAATCTGAAAAAAATTAAAACATTGGCAAATAAGACTCTAGACAGAAAGGCACAGTGGGGAAGGTAGAAGTTTATTACGTGATATTAAATTCATAGAGGGCATAATGATGATAAACGTATGTACCTGGTAACATAGCCCCAAAATAAACTAACGACGAGGGAAACAGAATCTATTTCAGTGAGTGAGTTTTATTTAACTTTCCCAGTAACTATTAAGTCAGTGACATAATTGTGTGTGTGTGTGTGTGTGTGCACATGTGTGCGTTGTGTGTGGGTGTGTGCATGCGCACATGCGAGTGTGTGTTAGTTCCAGAACTCAGACATAGCAGGTAACATCCGCTTTTAAGCACGCAAAGGGACATTTACAAACATTACCTTGGTCTCTGCCATCACAAGGGCTAACAAACCAGAGTGTTAAACATCAGTGTTGTAACAGACCTTGCTCTCTAGCCAAACTGCAATAAAATTAAAAACTAGTACCAAGAGAACAGACGAAAATAAACGCAAGCCATCAATTATACATTTGAAGGTTTCAAAAACAGCTTTGAGGAAGTCACTCTCTTGGAGTCAAGTTTCAGTTTGTGGTATCGAGCACGTCTGAAATTCCCGCTTTGTAAACAGGGCTCTGCCCTCATCAGGAAACTTAATGGTTAGTCCCTTTTTTTCCCCTAGGATACTCTTATATTCAGAGCGGCTCAGCCAAGACCTTACACTAGGCCTTCAATGTGGACTGGGGGGGGTCATTTTATTTTATTGTATATCCCACATTTTTCATAACCAAGAGTTTCGAAAGCACAGTATTTCTCATTGATATTCTTCCATTCAGATCATGTTTAACGTTATTCTCTAGAAGGACTTTTGAACTGGAAGTGTTTGTCCATGTTTGTCACAGCATGGTCTGCTATTGACAACACAGTGCCCTTTTACCTAATTTCAGTCAAGATCTATTAATAGTTTCCTGGCAGCGGATGGACTCAACTGGATCAGAATTTTATTTCATGGAACTAGAAGAAGGGTTTTTTTTTTTTAATTTATATTTTTATTGCCTGTTAACTCATTTACTGTGTAGGCAGATGGGGGCTCTCCATAACTAGCGTGTGAGGATCTGAGGACAACTTGGATGAGACATTTCTCTCCCACCACCATGTGGGTCCTGGGGATCAAACTCGGGTTGTCAGGCTTGGCAGCAAGTGCCTTTACCCGCTGAGTCATCTCCGCTGACACAGAAAGCCTTTATGGCTTTCCCCTGCCCTGCTCATGTGTGCCTCTCCCGTGCCCAGTCGTTAAGAATAACGTAATTAGGAACTCTATATGATGATGCGCTTATATGTTTTAAGATCCCGCCGAGTAAAACGGAGTTCATAAAACCTATGGACTATCGATCATGTGACACAAGGTACAGAAAAGGCAGGAAGATCCTCTCATTCTTCTCCATGATGTGGGCCCTGGCTCCTTTGCTGCCCTTGGAACCATAATGACCCGACATGGCTGTTTCCAAAACAGTCCGACTTCCAGGAGGAGGCCGGACACAGTGTCTTATCTTCATTGGCTTATGACTCATTCAACAGAAGCACCTCCAAAAGGCCCTTAAAACAAGAGATAAATCAAGCTTTTGTGTACAAAGGAAGAGGCAGCCCTGGAAATTAAATCGATTATTTCATTTTAGCCGACTTGTGCAGACCCTCTTGTGTGGGCGCGTTCCTTCTCTGTAGTTTGTTACTGTTGGCCAAGTGTTTCCACGCACATTAGCTCGTTGACTTTTCAAACACCCCCCTGCTCCCTCCACCCCCCCCCCGCAACAGTCCATTTAATTAGCCATAGGAAAATAAGACTAACTCGGAGAAGGCAACGTTTACACCCAGTAAGGGGGCGAGGTTGGGACGAGCTGTCAGAGTCCAAACACGCATGCGCTGACTCCCAAGAGAGTTTTCCATTTTCATCACTCAGTGCTCTGTGCTTGCGGCAATTAAAGACACCTTTCCACGCCTCAGAAGTTCCTAATGACTCTGAAGTTCCACACTGTACAAGTTTGACCTTGTCAAGGGTTCTCCTCCATCTGACCCCAACTTCCGTTTCAATTCCTAATCCCGATTGCCCAGCTCCATCCTCCATCGCCACCTCCCATCTCTGCCCCTCACCGGCCTCCTCCAGTTCTGTCTGCCATTTTCATGCCCATTTGAATTCTTCCAGGCCACCCCTCATCTCTTTGAGTCAACATTAGCTAGAAGAGTCCTGTGTTACTTTATTTCAAGTTCCCTGGGTAGTAGTTTGCACAAATGTGGTTATTTTTTATTATTATTATTATTATTATTATTATTATTATTATATGTCTATGTGTGTGTTTGTGGAGGCCAGATGACTTATGGAACTCACCAAACATGTTAGGCTGACTTCCTGGTGCGCTTCGGAGATCTACCTGTGTCTTTTCCCCCAAGTCTGGGCTATGAAGTGAATGCCACCACACCCCCTTTTTTCTTAAGTAGGTTCTGGGACTTGAACTCAGGTCCTCATGCTCCCAAAGCAGACACTTTACAGACTGAGCCGTCTCGCCAGTCCTACTTATACTTGTTTTTGTAATCTGTGATTAGCATTCTCTTGGTGATGTTTTATGACTCTGTCTTTTATATAAGCACACAAGTAATTTTTCAAGAGATGCCTCTTAGTCCTGTATGTTTTCTTAAATGAATAAATAAAAGTGAAAATAACTGAAAAAAAAAACCCAGATAGCTACTACAGGAGAGGTAGAGCAAATTCTCCTCCACCACTTTCATGGAGTCTGGTGGAGACCTGTGGGTGTGACTCTGGGATACACTCTGCTGCTTGGAGATTTGCCTTTAGGAGTCGACTCAGTCTGTCCCGGTTCCCTTTCAGATCCTACTCTGTGGAGCACGGACCATGTCCGGCAGTGGTTGGAATGGGCAGTGAAAGAATACGCCCTCCTAGACGTGGACGTCCTATTATTTCAGAACATCGACGGGAAGGAGCTGTGCAAGATGACGAAGGACGATTTCCAGAGGCTCACTCCGAGCTACAATGCCGACATCCTACTCTCACATCTCCACTACCTCAGAGAGAGTAAGCCGCCCGCCCCGCCCTGGGCAGCCAATGCTTGGGGCTGTGGTTGCAGACCCAACTTCAGGAGGGCTCAGACAGGGCAGGTCCCCAGCATCCTCATGCTCTCCCTCCATGAGGGCCACGCGGGGAGAGCTTAGAGCTTCCTGATGTAGTCGGACACACAGTTCTGGAGGCAAGACAGTGGCGCTACCCCTCCTCCTGCATTCCCAAGGCCAGGGACGCGGGATGCCCACGCGGTAGAGAAGACAAGAGGCTGGCCACACGCTCAGTAGTTTCTATGATGCCCCAAACTGGAAGGCAGAAAAGGCCCCTCCTGCACAGGAATCCAGGTTGCTAGAACTGTGTGGAGCCCCTCCCTCCATTTAGCCTGGACACGGAAGGGGAGGTTTTTCACTTCCGATTGAGCGAATGGGTAGCACAGTGGTCGGTGGAGGCACATGTCCCGAGGATTGGCGCATGCTCTAGTGTAGACAACTCTGAACACGGCCCAGAAGGATCCCAAGTCATCCCTTTTTAGCATTTAACACATTAACCAGCGTCAGGGTTTGGACGGGCCTGGTGCCCCCAGGTTAGGGTGGTGGGGGGCTACATTGCCCTTTCTTCTCCTTCCGACGGCGTTTACGTTTTAAGAACGGCCGGCCATTCTCCCTCCTTTCACCTCATTGTTGCTCTGTGTCGTGCTTTGTTTCCTAGCGCCTCTTCCGCACTTGACTTCCGATGACGTTGATAAGGCTTTGCAGAACTCTCCACGGTTAATGCATGCCAGGAACACAGGTAATGCTAGTCCTTTCCCACCCCAGGACAGGCACAGGTGGTTCCTGTCTACAGGTACATGCGTCCAAGTGAAATCCACAGGTTAGAGGTTACAGGGTAGAAGGCAGTTGCACAGGCCAAGGAAGGTGAGGCCGCTGGGTATCTGAATACTTCCCCGTTCTTTCCACCACAATCCCCCCCCCCCCCCCCCCGCCCAGCCATGAAAGGGATTTTTGTTTTGTGTTTTGTTTGTTTTGTTTTTGGACCAATTGTACAAGCCCCCAACACGTGACACTGTTAGATCCAACGCTCCAGTCCTGTTGCCTGTGGAGATAAAAGTCCCTGGTATAAGGACCGACACCACGAGTCTGTTCTCCATCCTCGTCCCTAAAGCAGTGTTTTCTCGGATTCCTTGGCGTCTCTTGGTTTGTGGCTCTAGGACTTTCCTTGATTTAGTCTTCTGCACAGATTCGTAGGTTTGCAGAGGGCCATGGATGGAGTGTTTCATACTTTTTGCAAACAGGGAAACTCTGCTGCAACTTTGGGGGATAAAAAAATTGGCCTCGATCCAGTGCCTTCCTTCCTGTCTCTGACTACAGGTTCTACACTTGTATCTGATGCATGCCTGAGCCTAGCAGGGCTTAACAAGGCACACTTGGTCCTGACTAACCTCCCCTCCTGCTCTCGGTACGCTTGGGGTTCTCTGTGTATAAGATCTACCCCATCATCCTGATAGTGTCACAGGTGGCTCCATGGCCACTTGCCGCTCACCTACTGGATTATGCTAGGACCACACCCTACCATGCCCAACCAGCACCAAGCAAGGCAGAAACAGCAAGAGCTAGGAAGCCTGCGTCTTCTTGCAAGCATGCAAGAAAGCAAGCAAGCAAGCTATGGCATGGGTCTCCTAGACTGAGCAAGACAGCAACTTACCAAATAGTCTCCTTTTATTTTAAAGTTTCCAGTCTCATGTGAACTGAGCCTCGGTGAGCTATCTGGAGTAAATGACTGGTGTGTCTTAGTCTCTGGCACCCAAACAGTACACCTTTAACGTAACGTGACAGGCTTTAAGCTCTTCCTTCTCTCCATCGCACGTGTCAACCTGCTAATGATCTTGTTAGCAAAGAGTCCTCCCCCACTTAGGCGCTCTGAGCCACACATAGACTCTCTTGTCATGCTCATTTGGAAATTCTTTAGCAGTGACTAAATATTCCACCGAAGTTCAGAAGAGTTCATTAATTTTATTATAGCTATACACAGAGGCCATCCAAGGACAAGGATGATAAATTTCCAAAGACTTAACGCCACGGGGGGAAAATTCCCTCATCTGGGGAGATGACCACCGATTGAGGAAAATATGGAGAGTCATGTATTTTAATAGGGATGTGGATTAATTCCGAATACACTCCATAGAATCCTAGGCAAGATACCTATAATTCTTTCCAAGATCTACTTTCCAAGATATTTTGTGAATCATAGATAATATGAGATAAATGAACAGGCCATGCCACGGATAAATTTTAATAAAACAAGATTGCCAGTGGGGCGCAGTGGGAGCTCCGTCAAGACACTCACAGGAAATAATAAAGAACGCACAGTATTCCAAGCACACTCAGGATCTGAGTCTGCCCCCGGGCTCATGTTTGCCAGGAACACTCTACTGGCATGCAAGGCTTCCCTTGACACTGCAGGGTGAGCTTGGTGGCACGCATGTGGCCTCCAAGGACCTTCACACTTTGTCTTTCCTTTTCTCTGCAGGGGGTACAGCTTTTATTTTCCCAAATACTTCAGTATATCCAGAAGCTACACAAAGAATTACAACTAGGCCAGGTATGCTAATGCCCCCCCCCAGGACCTCAGCCCAGGACCCCAGGAGCATGTCCTGGATCTGAAATGCAGAGCACTATGGTCAGTCTTTGTCCTGTCCCTGTCGATGTGCAACCAATATTCGGTCCCTTTGCTGCACTCAGAGGCCACAGTAGAGGGGTCGAAGCTGACGAGTCAGAAACAGATAAGAGCCTTGTGTAGTAGCTTTGACTACCCAAGATAGGAAGCCCTTGCACTATCAAGTTAAGGGAAGGATGGCTGTGCAGACTGTTCCCTTCGAGGGAAGAGCAATTCCAAAACCAGTAGCGACTGATTTTTCTCATTACCCATTTTTCAGAGGAGAAGCAATGTTTACATCAAAGTCACACCTTATGTCTTTTCTGACGATTTAACTAGGTGATTAATTTGCATATCGTTCATGGGAAAATAAGCATTTATCCAATGCCAGTCACAGAGTTAGCCTCTGGGAACGGAAAGCTGAACGGGGCTCCAGACACCGTCTGTCTCCGCAGAGCTTGCTTGCACACCCCGCTAGGCTTGTGGTTGGTTGAGTGCCTTGTCTGGGTCTGGGGGGGAAGTTTTGGCACAGAGTTCTAGAAGATAACTCAGTGGTGTTACCTGGAGCTAGAGAGAGCCAAGAACGTGTCAGTGTTTCAGACGAAGCAGTAGAGAAGCAACTAAGGCATTGACTGCATGGAGCCTGGGGGCCTGGGAGTCAGGCCCACATGAACACAACCAAGAAGCCTCAGGGGACTGACTGGCCAGGGATAGGACACTGTGAACCAGGGATGTATCACTTGCAGACACCAGCCCCTCACAGGGGCCATGACTTCCATGTAGGTTAGAATTCCTCACGCCATCCTGAACACCGAGGGGAATCCCAGTTCCAGAAATCTCAGGGAATTTCCCATACTCTACCTTGGAACAGCATACACGTCTTCACCAGCCCAGGCTGCCTCGCAGTGACTCTTTTTTTGAGTCTAATTGACCTGGTCCTCGGGCCCAGAAGCTCTTTAAGGGAGAAAGTCAGACTAGTGCTGGGAGCTGTCTGAATGGTGGCAGGTAATAGGGACGCTTCCTGGATCTCTTTGGTACCTGGGCTCTGCTCTGTAGCTGCCACTGCGGCAGCGATATGTCAGGCTAGAGATTTTCTCTTCTCAGACCTGAGAGAGAAAGCTTGCCTCTGTTCCCATAAATCATGTGAAAACGCCCATCCAAAGTCCCTTGTCGTGTTAGAGGTCAGCAAAGTAACAGACCAGGTCCAGTGTGTGCAGTTAACTCAAATGGCCCCAGAGAACTCCTGCAAGAGCATTACCAGTGAAAAGCCGGGGCATGTCCTTTCCCTGGCTCTAGGACTTTCTGAACTTGCTCCCCACAGGGGCATCTTGTGGAAAGAGGGGGGGGGGGTAACAATGGGAGAGAATGGTCCCAGGGCTCTTTCGAAAATGCTTCTACCTATAGTTAAAACTAAATGCATGAAAGCTCCCTGCAGAACATTTGGCCTTTAAGATTAATTAGCCAGTTTAAAAAAAAAAAATGTTTGCCTAAAGCCACCCCAGGAATGCCTCTGGCTGGGTTTCAAGGCCAGGGTTTGTGAGCCACGGTGGTAAGCTGGTTGGCGAGACAGGACAAGCGGCCCTGCCGTCCCTTTGCTTGTAGGGCGGCGGTGTTACTGTCTAGGTTCATTTTGTGAAAAGGTAGGGGTTGCAGCAGAATCAAACACAGCAGACAAAGCAGCCATGGGAAAGACAGGAAGGACCCTCTGCAGGTGGGGCAGGGGCTTCTTGAGGGTCTGGTGACAAAGACCCATGTTCCTTGTGTGTCCGCGTCCACCTCATGTCTCCAATTCAGCACTAGGGGCAGAAGCTGGCCGGCACCTCAGAGCAAGCCAGGCTTCTAGGTCCCTAGTCCATTTAGACTCTCTCCCAGCCTTCTCTGTACCAGAGCTGCTTCACCGGGTTCCCTGCAAGAAAATTCAGAGCAAAACAAAAAACAAAGCAAAACAAACAGACAAACAAAAACCCCACAAGGCTCCTGTGTTTCGTGAGATCAGACTAGATGGCGTTCTTACCCCTTTTTCAGGGTGCCGCCACCCACGCTTACTGTCCCCTGAATCCCACTGCCAAATGCTTCCCCCTGCCTGATTCCTTTCCTTCTGCCTCTAGACACCCGCTTCCGAGTTACCGCCCCAAGTCTGCCTCCCTCCCTCCCCCTCCCTCCTTCCCCTCCCTCCCCCTCCCTCCCCCTCCCAACCCTCCCTCCCCTCCTTCCCCTTCCCTCCCCCTCCCCTCTTCCCCTCCCTCCTTCCCCTTCCCTCCCCCTCCTTCCTCCCTCCCCCTCCCCCTTCCTCCTTTCCCCCTCCCTCCTACCCCCTCTCTCCCTCTCTTTTCTTATAACTAAACTTCTGCATGGATTTTTTTTTTTATTCATGAGCCGTGTGGCCATCATTTTGGCATCATCTTGGGGTTATGTTACACCAAACTGTCCACCCCAGGAACCTCACAGGTCGTGACCCACGTGGGCTCCATCCTCCCTCCCTCCCTCCCTCCCTCCCTCCCTCCCTCCCATCTTATCCATCTCTTCCATGCTTGTTACTTTGCTTTTTCCACACTTGTAGATGGATGGAGGCCACAGCCTCTTCCACTCATCTTTGTTGAGTAAGCATCTGGCTTGGTTCCACCCCCCCACCCCCGCCCCCTCCCGCTAGGATGCTGGCATACCCTTGTGTGTTCTGTGGTCTGGTGATCATTCTTTTGTGACAGCTGCATTTCTCAGGTTCTGTAGTAACAATCCCTTGAAACCCTTCTCCCCAGATCCTCTACACAGACAGACCATCTTCCTCCCCCGAGTCTACTTCTTTTGAAGCCGCAGACCCATGAGGTCTCGGGTTAAAGTGTCAGAATCAGAGTCAGGCACAAGCCCCAGAATCTTACTGGGCAGTGCGCCCTTGTGATGTACTACCCAGCCCGTCCTTTTATGAGCTGGCCATGGGAAATCTGGTCTGTTACATGGAAGGCGTCATGCATGCAGTTCTGTTCCTGCTCCAGCACCACGGTACTTCTGTGGAGCCACGCACACCCAGGGTGTTGCCAGAAGTATGTGCAGTGCATCGGCGCCACACACAACTTTGAGTGGGGTGTGAGCTTGAAGCTGGTGCCTTTGGGGGCATTCCTCCACGGAACACTGGAACTTAGTGCTGCTGAGCATGGCCCAGCCAGGTGACGCCACAGCTGCTGCACCCCTCAGTCCTGCGCTATGTAAACCCTGAGGCCTTAGCAGTTGGCTTACTGCACACTTTGCTTGTAGCAAGTCCCTACGTAGCCACGGAGATTTGTAAGTGTAGTTAAAAGCCCACAATCATCATCCACAAACACGATCTCTATGTGTTGGATGTAGGGGGTGAACTGGAATTTAGGAAGATCCAGATGAAGAAGACAAAGCAGGCTAATCAGCCTGAGGTTGAACCTGAGGATTCCTCTGTTTGGGGGGGGGGGGGTAGCTTTATCGATGGTTCTAGGCGGTAACTCGCCATCTTCCTCGTTAGCTTCAAATGCATGACAGGAGGCCCATTTATTCCTTCCCATCCCCTTCCTTCCTCCAAGGGATCACCAGAGACATCTTGTAGGCATGGTAAAGATTCTGCAGAATGAGGGACAGTGTGCCAAGAGCCAAGTCCTGGTCCCTTAAAATGCTAACTGACTCTGTGGAGGGGCTGGCAATGGCAAGCCCCCTCCAGTGATCTGAGCAGAGGAAGAATGCAGCTTAGTAGAACTTACCCCTCACTGGGGCGAGGGTGCTGGAATAGTTCCCTGCTGCAGCTGCAACATCTTAGGAAGAATGTGTTAGAAAGGGCCACCTTCAGAATTAGAAACTGTCCCAGCTCTGTGAGAACACACAAAGCTGCTTTGTGTGGGTGTCTGCACCAGACAAGCCGCCACCACCCCCCCCCATCTTCATACTGTTGTATGAAGAGCATGACATATGCCATGTTTCTATAGCCACCCCAAGCTGCCCACGAGATTGCTGTAATAAGGTTCACGCTTTTCAATACCTACAGTAGCAGACAGTGATTTCCTGTGCACAAGTGTGTGAGCTAATTACTTTAAAGAAGACAAATCAACAAAACGTGTGTGTGTGTGTGTGTGTGTGTGTGTGTGTGTGTGTATTAAACAAAACAAAACAAAACACCTATGCTCTTCTGGCAGGCTGGGCAGCCAGGGCTCGTGGGTAGCGGTCTTCTAAGTAGTCAGAGGTAGACATTTGCGACGCCGGCCCTGTGGCCACCGTGATGGTTCCTCATACCCCGAAACTCCCAAGGTCAGCATTTCCCGAGGTCACATCCCACAGGAGGGGCTTAGTGTCACAGCATGTGACCAGTAGCCGATAAGGAAATATTGGCATAGACTCTCATGGAAGAAAACAAGATGAGCGTATCTACCGTGGCTGTGTGTTTGCGGACATGTTAATCACTTGTCCATACAAACATCTCAAATACTTGGCTGAAAATTGAACTCACCCTGGTGGTTGTTGTTTCCAGGGGAGGGTGGGACCTGGCTATTCATCTTTCAAAGGATTTTGTGAATAGAGAGCTTCCAAACATTAGTTCCCGTGTGATGGTTAGTGTTCTTTCCAGCCAAGCTTCACACATTTCTGGGTGTAGCTGACAAGCTCCCAGTTCTCTGGTACTTCCATGTACATTTTCCCAGCTCAGGCCCCGTAGATCCCTCTAGAACCTTCCACACCGGGCTGTTATAGTTACATGTACATAGCCTGGCTATCGTTCTTGAACTCGTTGTCTTTGAGGATGGTGAATTGTATAAGAATTCTTAGAGTGGAAATCTCCTTGGTCTGGCTTTTGCACACTCCAGTTTGTGTGTGAGTGGGCTGGGACCTTGTCAGGATTCTGACTCTATTCTGTAAGAACAGGATAAGCCTTCAGTGTGTCTCTGGTTGTTGAGCCACGGAACACACTTTGAAGAGCAAGGATCTAGGACACGATTCTGTGATACCACCATTTTCATTTGGTAGATAGGCCTTTGTCTGTCTGTCTGTCTGTCTGCCTCTGAACTAGGAGAGACACCTCCCTTACTGGATGATTTCGTTTCATATAACTCTGGCTAAGCAGCTTTAACAAAAAATATTATTACTCCTTTTTATTTTGAGGTGTGTGGGTGGGGATGTGCACATGGCCCACAAGTGGAAGCTAGGGGACAGCTTAGCTGGGTTGATTCTCTCCCACGGTGTAGGTTCTGGGGATCCACGTCAGATCACAAGGCTTGCAAGCAAGCACCTTTGCCTACGGAGCCATCTCACTGAATTCCTCCCCACGTCCTGCCTTAACTTTTTCGTTTTAGAAAGAAAACTGCAACAGGTTGGGAATCTATTTTCAGAATGTTTCCCGGGATGTAAGACGAAATTCAGCTATAATTGGTTTCAGCTACAGACTTCATCCCCACATGTATTCCCAGCTCTAGGAAAGCTGAGGGTCCCAGAATGCAAAAGCGCTCCCCAAGAGGAAAGTGAGCAATAGTGAGATTGTAAAAAAAAGAAAACTGTCTAACTCTCCGAAGTCCAAGAGGGTAAAATTTCATAGACCACACCAGTCGAGATGCCTGCAGCCAAACACACTGATTGAATTAAAGGCCTTTCTGTGTTGGGTTTCACGTTGTTCTCTTTGGGATAGGAACACAGGGACAGGCTCACACTTTTCAACCTAGCAGGGTTCTTTGAAAGCCGATCCACCAGCTTGCCAGTTTTAAGTAAGCTTAAATTATTTACTTACAGAGAGACCCAAAATAATTACACCACTCTGTCCTCCAAGTGCGAATTCCATGGCCATCCTCTGTTGTCTGGCAGAAGCAAGCCTGCAGGGGTATGGCGCTGTGGCTTCTAGGTGGTCTAGAGTGGCATTTGACATTGAACCTAGACCTACCAACAGAGGAAGTTTTGCTTTTAAGTTCATTTGTTCTGAGAGAGGGTGTTACCCTAGAGCCCAGACTGGTCTTGAACTTACCGCAATCCTCCTGCCTCAGCCCCCACCAAGTGCCAGGATTATAGACATGAGCCATCACACCCAGGTCTGGTCTGTTCTGAGGTAGCATGTCCTGTATCCCAGGCCGGCCTCAAATATTTATGTAACTGAGGGTGACTTCTTGCCAAGTGCTGGACTCACGGGCCTGAGCCACCACACCTGGAACACAGCTTTGAGGCGGCTCTGTAATACTGCTGCATGTAGAAATAGCTTTCATATATCCACGGTTAATAAGAGTGGGGGGGGGGGGGAAACCGTGTTCCTGGGATGTACCTGTGAAAGAAAACTGAGATGAGTTAAGAGCTCCATCATTAGTGCCGATGCAGTGTGTAATGAAGGTCCATGGCACAAGCAATACCGTGTATAAACACTTACAAATAATTGCCACTCTATTTACGCTCAGCGTCATTGTTAATATGTTGTAGGACGATCACTTGTGTCCTGAATTTCTTTCATGCAATTCATTTTTAGGGAGATATTAAATTCTCTTAGAAAGAAGGGGGCCTTTGCCTAGAGAAACAACTAAGCCAATTAAGACTGACCATACAAATGGTTAGATTATCAAGGGGTAGTCAGAGGTGGGGGAATCTAGGGAAGCAGCTCACTGAGGGGTAAGAAAGCAGATCTTATTTCCAAGAAGAGCACAGAAAACAGAAGCATGAATGTCTCTGGGTGGATTTGATCCCAGGCAAGAAGCAATGGATTCCTGCCAGCTGTGGGCTCTGAGTAATCAATAGATTAGTCCAGCTGTGGGCTCTGAGTAATCAATGGATTAGTCCAGCTGTGGGCTCTGAGTAATCAATGGATTATGCCAGTTGTGGGCTCTGAGTTCTGAAGATGATCAAAAAGTAGGTCCCGTGATTCATCAGACTGTGGAAGAGAAAGGGTCCTGCAATCTCAATTTCTGATCCTAGGAAAGGGTTCTAGCAGAGTGAGCATCAGGGGCCTGGAATATGGCTCAGCTGGTCAAGTGTTTGCTATGTAAGCACGGAAACCCGAGTTTGGTCCTGGTTTCCATGGAGAGGTCTGCACCTGGTGGCATATACCCTTTCAGTTTAGCTAAATCAGTGAGCTGCAGACGAGCCCCAATGCGCCGGTGACAAAGCTACTTCCCAACAATGAGGTGAATGGCATTTGAAGACAATATCCAAGGTTGTCTGTCAAGCCTGCACGTGCATATGCATCCACACATATATAATACACGTGTAAAACACACACACACACACACACACACACACAGACACACCAAGCAATGTCTAAAAGAGTCTACCAATGATAGTTTTCAGCTAAATGGAAGTGAGATTTAAATAAAATATGCAAATTAATAGGTAAAACCTACAACTTTTTTATTACATTTGAATTTTTATTCGGTATTCTAAGAAACAAATCTGTTATAAAAATTAGCTATTTTTTTCTTTTTTCTTTTCTTTTCTTTTTTTTTTTTTTTAGTCTATGTATCTCTTTTTTACAGATTTACCTTATGAGCCTCCCAGGAGAACAGCCTGGACCGGCCATGGCCACCCAACCCCTCAGTCCAAAGGTACAGGCTCAGCCCCCACTGCCCTGAGTTGCATGGCAGAAGGCAAGGCCCACTATGATTTCAGTGGTTGGTCTGTGGTCTTTCCAACAAATGGAGGGGTTCTTAACGTTGGCGACAAAGCACTTGCAATCTTCAAGCGTGACCCTCTGTTTTAGATGTAACCTACTCCCGTAACAGAAGAAGTGAACGGAACAGAGAGCCTCACTGTGGACAAGTGTGGGTTCCAGGGATGTTTGCACACGGATGAGCTCATTGCTGCTTCCCTTCGCTGCAGCTCTGCTTGGCTCCATTTCCTCCTGGCACTTTCCCTGTATTTATTTTACACCGTAGTTAATTTCATTCTCCTTTGTAAGCCAGCTCGGGTTTCTTTTCATTATGTTTAGGAGGAATGGCTACAGTAGATTGTTTAAATCATGGGAGACATTTTGGAGTGTTTATATTTAATTTCATTAGAGGAGGCAATTCCTTCTTACCACAAACGTAGAACAGCATTACTATGCTGACAATTAATTGGTTACGAAGTAAAAACCATCGAAGACGTGCAGAGGCCAATCTGAGTTGTGGCTAATCGTCTTTTCTTTCTTACCTTTTTTTCAGCTGCTCAGCCGTCTCCTTCCACGGTGCCCAAGACGGAAGACCAGCGTCCTCAGTTAGGTGTGTTTCAGAAACTGTCCTGGGAACCCTAAAATGGTTACAGGCTCAGCTGGGAGTCTCTAACGTGTATCCCCTTTTAAATGAACTTCATAACTGTCGTGTGTGTATAACGGGGTCTAGACCACTAGTTTCTCGCTTGGAAGGATTTTAATAAAAGCCTGAGCTTTTGCTAAAGCCTGTAAACTTTGAATATGAGCAAACCGTTTTCCTTGCTGGAGGTTATGGCTTTGGGGTCTGTTGCTTTGGCTTCACAGTGTCTCACACTGCCCTGGCCGTTATGTCCAAGGTAGAAAAACAGTAGAATGCTGACCTTGAACAACCTGGCTCTTGTGACCCCAAGCTCAGCATCACCCTACTTAGATCCTTGCATTGTAATGTGGGCTATGGGTTGGTGATGGGAATCTGGGACCTCAAGTTTTTTCTATGACTCCCCTGAGACCTGGTGTGACATCTTACCTCTCCTAGGAGGTAGAGACAGGATTCGGGGGGGGGGGGTATGGAGAATTCTCCCCTCTGCAAACACGGTCCTGTCGGCCTGGAGTTCTATGATACCAAGCCTCTGCCATGTCTGACTTACTTCCTTCTGTCACAGACCCATACCAGATTCTGGGACCCACCAGCAGCCGCCTCGCTAATCCAGGTGAGTTGCCGATTGGGAACCGATGTACGGTTACTTAGGAACTGGGGACAATTCCTGGAAGAGAACCTGTACTGGTGAGAAACCGTTTCCAACCGAGAAACTTCGTTTTCACACCTCGTCTCACAGAACTGTTTTATTTGCCCTTGTTGAAAAAAAAATGGGATCAGTTTATAAATTAAGATTTGGCTTCAGCAAGGAGTTTTATAACCTAATTGAATTCATAACATTTCTCTAGGGTTGTTGCAAAAAAAGTAACAAAGCCTGTGTTTGGGTTAGTAACATCAGTGCATCGGTATTCCTCTGGAGGCCGGAATCTGAGGCTGTGGATGGGGCCTTCCGAGTTGTGAGGAAGGGATGTGCTCTGGGCCTTTGACCCTGGCTTCTGGATGGCATCATCTTCCTGTGTTTCTTTTTATTGTCTTTCCTCTCTGTGATTTTTATATCCATACCGGACTGTGTGTGTGTGTGTGTGTCCATGTGGGTGTGTTTATACATGCATGTGGAAACTAGAGGATAACCTTGGGTGTCAGGTTATCAATCCATAGACAGTATCACACCATCTATCTTTTTGTTTGTTAAGATAGGCCCTCTCACTGGCCTGGAATTCTGCAGGTAGGCTAGGCCAGCTGTCCAGTCTGAGCCCCAGGGATCTACTGTATCACATGCCACAGTGCTCGGCTTCTTAAATTCCAGATTCTAAAGATCAGACTTTGAGATCTCCTCAGTCTGGGACCTTTTCTTTTTAAAAAGACACCGTTCATTCTGGAATAGGGGCCTCTTCAGTGGCCTTAGTTTGTTTGATAACCTCTGTGAAATCCTTGTCTCTTAAGACAGGTCACTTTCAGAGTGACCAAAATTCAGATTTCAGAACATGGATTTTAGGGGACATAATTCAACCTGTCACCAACCAGATCCAATAACCATTATTTTAAAACAGATAATCTTACAGCCATCAGACTCCAATTATGGTCATCTGTGAGGATGTATTTCTGAACTCAGATGTAGGGAAAAAACAGGCTGAGAACCATCACCTGTCCTCACAATGAGCTTGTTCTATTTGTTTGCATTCAGATTAGAGCCAGCTGTGCTGGCATGAACCCCGTGTTTCTGTGGCATCTGCTTCACATTCACAGCTGTACATTCAATGCCAAGATGTTACAGCCACTCTCTAAGCGCGGGCTGGGATTTCTGTTTCACAGACCTTGAGCCAAACGGGGGTTGGAAAATGCAGAGATGCATTGCACACATCCCCACAAGAGAACCCACACTCTGAGAACTCAGACTATCATCAACGTGGGACAGCGGACTCTGCCATGAAATTGTGATTAATGTCGATTAATTCACTAAACATGTTCTCAGCAGCTCTACAGACAGAGGGGGTGGTTTTGGTCATTGCTTTAGCCCAGTGCACAAACAGGGGCCCAGCACCTTGTTTATCAGTTCATCCCTGAGGTGACCACAAGATACAGCTGGCTCCAGGGGGCTGTCACCTGGTGAAGAGATGGGCACAGGTAGATACAATCCGCTCTCTAGCCTATGGACTCACAGCCCATTGTCTATTTTGTGACCAATCACTTAGTGCCCAGGACTTCCAAGCAGTCCCTCATTTCAGCATTCCCCTTATAACTGTCTCCTAGCAACTCTAATGACCATCGTGGCTGTGTGGTCCAGGAGACCATTCTGTGGGCAAAAGTGTCTACCGCCCCACAGTGGGTGGGGCTGACCCTGAATCCCAGCACCATATAAAAGTCAGACACGTAAGAAGAGTGTGTGTTTCTAGTCCTCCTGTTTCAAGAGGGGAGGCTGAGGCGGGGGAAACTAAACTGCTAAACTGCAGGAGTTCACGGGGCAGCTTGGGATACAGAGCTGTGAAACACAGCCCTCTCAGATGGGGTGGAAGGAAGGACAGACACCCAGGGGTCTTCTTTTACTTCCATGAGTGCCTCTGGGCGTGGGCACCTGCACTCACTCGCATGAATGTGCGTGGGCCCGTGTGCATACGCATGAAGCTTTTGCTGGGCCGTGTTTGGAGGTAGAGGTAGTGGTGACTAGGCTCCAGAAAGGCTGGTCTGGCAGCACTGTTGGGACAGATTAGAAGACACTCCTGGATGGAGGACCCGGGCTCTGTGAACACCTCCCCCCCCCCCCCCGCCTGCCTCACGGGGAATGCTTACACCTGAGGTTCCCCTCTAGGGTTGTGTGGCTCGCAACATTGTTATCTCCATTCCCCATCCGACAGAAGAGGAGTCGGAGGCCCTGAGATGTCAAAGAGCTTTCCATGGGTCACAACCGGACAGGAAGGAGGCTCGAAGGGTCTCTAAAGTTTGTTTTCCGTCCCGGCACTTCTGGAAGATGGGGGAGAGGGGAGCTTTGAATAACACGGGCTGTGGGTAAGAAAGGGAACACTTGGGTTTAGTTATACAGCTGCTAAGGTTGGGAGAGGAGGAGGAAGAAGAAAGGGGAGGGAGGAGGGAGAGGAGGGAGGAGGGTGAGGAGGAGGAGGGCAGTGGCCAGCTACAATAGGCACGATCATACCAGCCTTCCTGCTGCTCAAGCCCACAGCCTAAATGCATCGCCCATCATGTCCTCGTTGTCCCTCAGAGACGGCTCGTTTGGAAAATGTAGCCGAAGGGAGTGATTTGTCCCTGAGCTAAGTGCCCCCCCTTGTCCTTCTGTGAGGGGCAGCTTGGGATGCTTGCTCTAGATAAGGATGGCAAGTTGGAGACATGAGATGGAAGACACACCCCAGGCCTAGGAGCAACGTTCTGAGGCGTCATTGGTCCATGGCCCTTGTGTCCAGTGTCAAGTACCACATTTCCTATGCTGAGATCGTCCCTGCTGGACCCGGGTGATGGCAGGATCCAGCCTTTGTTTGGTAGTCAAGAGACCGTAAGACACCGTTAGTTCACAAGGAAGGAGTCTTCCCTTCATACTCTCTGTACGTATCCCAGGCACTGACCCAGTTGATTGATGTGGTCTTTGACACCAAATGTTCCCATCTTTAGTTTAGTAGAAATGCTTCTTGTCTGTGTATCTCTTTTATTCTCTGGTAAATTGGTCTTTCGTCATGAAAAACTCAGTGACTTCTAGAGACAAGGAAAGCTCTGTCAGGAGAGTCATAAGTAAGTTCAAGGCTGAGTCAGAAGAGTCACAAGTTCAAGGCCTGCCTGGACAACTTAGTGAGACACTGTCTCAAAATAAAATGTTGAAGAAGGAAGGGCTGTGTGCCTGGACCTGTGGCTCAGATGTGGAACACTTACCTATTATCTGGGCAGCCTCAGGTTCAATCCTCAATACTTCTCTCTGATGCAACTTTAATTTTAAAATTTAAAGGCAATGCCTATATACATAGATAATTTTTTTTTTAATTTTCAATCTTCTCGTTAAACCCTCAAAACTAATATGGCATTGGGAAAAGAAATCCAGTAATTCGGCAGAAATGAAACAGTGTCTAACACATTTATAGGGAATAACAAACCCCTTTGTATGTCTATCCTAAATGTATATGATCTCAATGCATCTAAAAGGAAGCCCAATTAATGGACTGAATTAAGAAACAGGAACCAACTATATGCTCCCTCCAGGAAACACGCTTTATCTAGTAACGATGCCACAGCACTTAATATCAAAGGGTGGAAAGCAATTAGACAATGCCGAGCACATAGAAAATGTAAAAGGGGGACACTACATATTAGTAAATTGATGAGCAGTTCATCAAGTGTAAACTTTAGTGCACCAAACATTGAAGTCTCTGGTTTCATAAAAACAAGCACTAAGAAACATAAATGACCACATAGGTCTTGACACAATAGCAGTGGAGAACTTCAATACTCTTTTTATTTTCCCTTCAAGACATGGTTTCTCTGTTTAACAGTCCTAGCTGTCCCGGAACTCACAGAGATCCGCTTGCCTCTGCCTCCTGAGTGCTGGGATTAAAGGCGTGCATCGCCACCACCACCCAGATTTTAATACTCTATTCTTAAATTTAGATAGTTCTAATATTCCACACAACAGGGAGGAAGCACAATTTTTATTTTCTGAGCAGCACACGGCCCCTTCTTCAAAATCTTTTTGTCCATTTTCAGTGGAAAGATTTTGCCATGAAATGAATTTCTTGAGACTAAATGTAGGTGGCATGTGAGTTTATGGGCACCATGAGCACATGAAGCCCCCCTCAGAAGCCAGAAGAAGGGTGTTGGGTCTCCTGGAACTGGAGTTACAGGTCGCTATGCGGTGCCCCAGCATGGATGCTAGAGGAGCCGCCAATTCCTTCAACTGCTGAGTCCTCTCTCAAAGTCTTACCATGCTTGTGAACACACAAGGTGATCACAGTGTGTGGACATCCAAATATTCCCATTCCAAATACGCGTTGACGTGTTCTTGGAATACTGTCTCTCCTGCTGAGAACGGTGTGTCCTGGCATCCCCATCTCATGAATCGGTGATGAGCCACGCCGCCACCAGAACTGCCAAGCACTGAATTCCTATGTGGACAAACTTTTCTTGAGTTCTGCCCAGGCATTCTAAATTCGTGGGTATGAAGGATGCATTCTGCTCCTTGAAAAGGGACAGAGTCACTTCCTTTAAGTTTTGTCAATTGCTAGGAAGCGGGAACCTGTTGCATTCAGGCAAGGCCTGAGGGTGAACAGCCTAGGGAGGACAGGGAGGCTGAGGAGATGTGTATAGACACCCGACTGGAAAGTACTGGTCTATGTAGAAGAAAGAGTAGCAGCCAGAAGTTTGGCCTTGGCTGACGTTGGTAACAAACTTCGGACTACCCCTGTTTTCTCAGCTGCCCTGTGGGTTAAGCATGCTTTTTAGGGGACTCAACACTGTCACCTATGAGCCTGTAGTAGTGCCCAGTCCCCAGGGAACTTCAGAATGAAGTCAAACTGAGAACAATACCAGCCCATGCTCCTCCTGCCTGGCCAGAGGGGTGGTCCTGAGTGGCTTCTTCCTACCCAGTGAGGGGTGCTGGAGTTACAGACAGGCCTCTGTCCCTGGCTGATATTTACAAGGGCTTCTGGGCATCTGAACGCCAGTCCTCATATTTGCATGGCAAATACGCTTCCTCACTGAACTGTCTCCCCAGCCAAAAATCTTGTGTTTCTTATGGGTTTGGCCAGTAATGACTCAGGTCACATTTACATTTCGGGGAACTCTGATTACACTCCTTATCAGAGTCGTTCTCTACATTCTGAGGTGCAGTGAGCCTCATCGCTGTGACCATTACAGACCAGACAGTAATGTAGCAATTTAATAAATCACTTCAGGATCTTTGGAAGACTGCAGCTCCTTTCACTTACCTGGTGATGAGGTCTCAGTACCCACCTGCCTCCCCATGGCACCCTTGAGAGTTCCTGCTCAGTGGTGTGGCCTAAATGGCTTCAGGGTTCATGGGCTGCTGCTGTTTACAGTATTGCCTAAGCATTTGTTGGCTTGTATAGCCCGTTTCCTTTTCAGGTTTGGAGGCCAGTGGATTTTTGCTTCTCCGGGCTCTTTTGGGAAGGCTTGGCAGGCTTGTCCTCAGCCCTGGGCCCTGTGTCTTCCCAGCTAATGAGAATAAAGTGAACAGCCTATAGCGACATGAGCTCACCTGTCCTCTGAGCTCTGAGCTCCCAGCCATTCATGTAGTACTCGCCTGTTCCCTGGCTCTTCCGAAGCAAGGGAGACAGACTACCCCCCACCTTCCCTCCTACACATGCTCATAAGGGAAGTGGGTGAGGGACAAAAATTCCCAAAGACGATGCCAATGTTTGAACAGATACCAAGTGTTATTTGGTCTGTGCATTTGTACGAAATTTGCAGAGTGGCTCTCTCGCTACGGGAGGAAGTTGACACTAAATATTTATTTTCCAGCAACTGTCCATGTTTAGAATGAGGCATATGTCAGACTGTTAAACCCAAAACCCACAGCTTCTCCGATTCCCAGGTCATCCGTGGAATCCTTTTTTCAAGTTTTAATCCTTTGGTTACAATATATATACCAAAACCATATGGTCCTCCAGTTCCATCTTTTGGGTTTCTCAATGCATATTAATGAGATGTTGGAGGCAACAGCCCCTTGATTGAGAACAGTTTGTATGTGTAGCCCCGAAACAGCACAGGCTTCCATTCCGACAAGTTACAAGCTGTTAATACGTTTCAAATGTGTCGCTTGACTGAAAACAACCCTTTCCGGAATATAGTCGGAAGAAGCTGACCTTTCTCACGATGCTGTTGCATGGGTGGATCCACAGACCCTCATTCCCGTGGAGCCAACACGGAGACAAGGATTGGACAGTATGTGGGGGGGGGGATAGTGGGAAGGCTTCAAAGAAAGCAAATTCATAATTGAATGTTACATTCCATCAATTCCTTGAATGGATGATGGTCCAATTACTCTAGTCATCAGTCATATCTTTTCATATTTCTTATCAAAGCATAAAAGATAATATGTCTGGTAACGAGCCCAAGACAGTGTGCTCTTCTGGAGGCTGGGAAGAAAAATCTGCCTCCCACTCACTTTTAAACCCTAAATCTGTGCTAGTTCATTTTGTTTCTCCGAGTACCAAACATGACTTTCACTAAGCAGCCATTGGGCACGAACAGTAGACAGAAACAGAGTTTCCTATAGTTCCCTCTGCCAGTCTGGCCTGGGACGTCTGGGTGTGGCTGTGTTCTTATCCAGCAAGGGTAGCTCTCTGGAGAAGTGGGCTGTGAAGGGACAAAGCAGAACAGCCCAGCCACGAAGGGATGCGGGAGGGCAGGCCCCCTTCAGGACTTACTGGGCCCTTTCACACACCCAGAGATGCCTAGGAGCAATGTGACCTGGTGGTTAGAATGGTATGCTTAGATTTATTTTTCTCTGACTGAAAAGACAGAGGGCTCAGCCGGTCAACTGCTTCATTGCAAACACAAGGGACCGAACTGAGTTTGCTCTCCAGAACTTGTATCAGGAGAAGGGGAGGGGAGGGAAAGGGAGAGGAGGGGAGAGGAGGGGAGGGGAGGGGAAAGAAGGGAAGGAAAGAGAAGGGAAGGGAAGGGAAAGGACCCAACCCCCCCAATCTCACGTGGTTGTGGGCAATGATAACCCCAGTGTGGGTGCAGGTAGGTGGATTTTGGGGACTCACTGGCCAGGCAGCCTAGGCCAACAGGTAAATTCCAAGCTAACTATAGAGTCTGTCTTAAAAACCCAGGGCATCACTGAAGGTCTTTTTCTTGCCTCTACACACCCATTTATAAGCACAGGTATCCACACCTGCACTCAAGAGCAAACACATATGTGTATACACGCACATGAACAAGAACACTCATGTGCGCATGCAACATATATCCACACCCACAGACACCATACATACAAGTACACATGTGAGTGGCATGCTTAGCGCGCGCACACACACACACACACACACACACACACACACACACACACACACACGGCTGAGCTCTTTGAGCCAGGCTCTCTCCGCTTCCCAAGAGTGCTAGCCGGCTAGCCACAGCCTGCTGTCTTTCAGAAGCACTGTGACACACAGTATGGCACACGGCACATGGATTTCTGTTGCGGTGCATTTGGCCCAGGACTGGAAATAGGTTTACATGGTTTGAAGCAAAGCCAGCTCTTTATCTAAACTTCCTCATTTTAAGCAGGTTTAATTCCGTGCTAGCGACAGTTTTGACAGAGTCGGTCTCTGAGCAGCAGCCAGATGTTAGGTTAGAAATAACAGTGTTTACTTCCATTCTCTGTTTGATTTTCCATGAACTTGTCGGTGTTCATTTCCTAAACCTGACTTTTGTTGTTTCACTTGACCGGGCCAATATAAATGGCGTTCGGCCATTATAGCCATCCACAGCCTTTTCTGCTCCACAGAGTGGGGAAAAAGTTGCTCATTCATTCTCCCGAAGCCGGTGTGATCCATCCGGTTACTCTTTGAAAGATATCCCAAGTGGGAGGAACCTACCATGTTATGTGGAAAAGTTGGATCTATGAGGCCAGCCTGAAAGTAGTAGTCAGGGACTGCCATACATGGACAACTTTCACGGAGGCAGAGACAGACATACGGACATGCAAGGAATGGTTCCTTAAGGGTTCGTTCTCGGGAGGGATTGCTAAAGGAGCTCCCAGCCTCCGAAGCTGAGCCCTCATGTGCCAGCACGGTCCCTGAGGAGTTACGGGTCACGGGCAGCAGAGTCGGGGTGTCCTGTCATTCCTCTTCACCAGTGTGGCCTGGAACATCTGGGGGGCGGACCAGCTCCTGCCTAGCCCAGTTTACTCTCTGGCTCTGGGCAAGTGATCAGTCAAGAGACAAAACACAAAAACAGCCCAGGAGCAGAGAGAGATCTGGGCAGGGGTTGGGGACGGGACACGGGACAGGAGATCCGCCGTTGAGGAGCGGCTCTCTTGTGTTTGGCTCTCACTGGCTTTGTATCCCTCCCATCACCAGGTAGTGGCCAAATCCAGCTGTGGCAGTTCCTTCTGGAACTCCTGTCTGACAGCTCAAACTCCAACTGCATCACCTGGGAAGGCACCAATGGGGAGTTCAAGATGACAGACCCTGACGAGGTGGCTCGGCGCTGGGGGGAGCGTAAGAGCAAGCCCAACATGAACTATGATAAACTCAGCCGCGCCCTCCGCTACTACTACGACAAAAACATCATGACCAAAGTGCATGGGAAGCGTTACGCCTACAAGTTCGACTTCCATGGGATCGCGCAGGCCCTTCAGCCCCATCCTCCCGAGTCATCTCTGTACAAGTACCCCTCCGACCTCCCATACATGGGCTCCTACCACGCCCACCCCCAGAAGATGAACTTTGTGGCTCCCCACCCTCCAGCCCTCCCAGTCACATCGTCTAGTTTCTTCGCTGCCCCAAACCCATACTGGAATTCGCCGACCGGGGGCATTTACCCGAACACTAGGCTCCCTGCCAGTCATATGTCCTCTCACCTGGGCACTTACTATTAGAGAGGAGATGGAGGCCTTTCCCAACAATCACCTAGCAGCCACCACAATCTCAGAGAATACAAGTCGGAAGTGCCTCATGAGGAATGGAAAAGGTTGACCAGAGCTGGGGAAGGAAGCCGGAAAAACCAAAGACTTACAGGGGCATCACCCAAGTATTACTAAAGAAATAGAGGAAGCTCAAAAAAATACAATGTACATGGACATATAACCTGTGGTCCGCCCTTGTCAAAGACTTTGTATGTAGAAAAGCATGACCCGATAAAGGCAACTGCCCAAGAAAGCGGCCTTAAGTAGTGTACAAACTGCAGAGTGTGGGACCTTGCTTGTTCCAACCAGGATTCAGCGAAAGCAATAGAGAAAACCAGTAACACAGTCTTGGCCTAACATACCATTTAGAATGTCGTTTGAAGGGAAACTACTTGTGTTTAAAAATAGAAACATATCAAAAACCAAATGAGAAGACAAAGCGAGAAAGATGGCGGCCCCTCCACAAACCACATTGTGGATTTTCTTGGCTGCTGTTTGCTGTTTTTTGGTTAAAATCAGAGTCTTACCATTTGATGGAGAGCCACCAGCTCTATCAAACTGTGAAGATGACCTAAAGTCTTATCTCCTTTTCAGTATTACAGGAACTGTGAGCCACATGGTGGACGGGGGATGTGCATAGCGTGTGAGTATGTGATTATAGAAAAAGGGCTGAAAGATGAGGAAGATTTGAGGAAGAAGTAGAGAGGGAGGGGCTGGGGAGGGAGGGGAGGAGGGGGAGGAGAGGAGGGAGAGGAGGGAGAGGAGGAAAGAAACAGAAAGCAATTGCTCAAGCCATCCAAGTTGAACTTAGGACACCTTGGGACCAAAGACCATGAGTCGTGGGATGTTGGATGCTCTCAGTGTTGTAAGAAAGGACATAGTTTTATAGAGGACTGGGAGCAGTCGTATTCAGAACCAAAAATACGTCTCTGTGAAAAGAAAATCATAACTGGAATTGTCTGATATTAAAAAAAAAAGTTCAAGACCTCTGCGTTCAGTGGAGGCTTTGTCCTTCATGGGAGCAGTTGAGAGGTGACCTTTGTGGCCACCATGCTCAGAGACCAAGCAGGCATTGTGGGTAGGTGGGCTCCAGTTTTCCTTAACGAGTCGCGAACGCTGTGCGTTCGTCAGAACGAAGTCTACAAGTCGATGGGGTTTTGTTTTTCCTTTTTATATAATAATTATATAACTTATGCATTTATACACTACGAGTTGACCTCGGCCAGCCAAAGACACACCACACACACACACACACACACACAAAGAGCAGACAATCAATGATATGATGTGGCCTTGAATTTTAACTCTGTAATGCTTAATGTTTACAATATGAAGTTACTAGTTCTTAGATGCAGAATGTATGTAATAAAATGAGCTTGGCCTCTCATGGCGAACCAGAAAGGCAGTGGTCTCAGTTTGTACTTCTTTGCTCATGCGCATGGTTGCCGGCAGAAACTTGAGCTGAATCTTGAGCTGAGTTTGTGTTACATACTTACTTTGTCCAAGAACTTAAGCTGATGGGACTAATACAGATGGGGTGTTACACACGCAAGCAGCATGGCCCTCTTGACCTACCTGTTACCGTACAGTTCAACAGAATGGGACCTGGGGGCCTCCATGCTTTTCCCTTCAGCCTATTTGGCTGAGGTTGTCACTGAGCAATCCCAGCCCTGAAACTGGCCACTGGCCCCCCACATTATTGTCATGGTCATACATTTTTTGTTGAGTGAAGAACAAGCCATCGTTAATCCAAATTTTGTCATCATTATTGGCAAATCAGTCACGTAGCATCTGCAGTTTCTTGTTGCAAAGCGGCCAAGCAGATGGTTCACTGGCTAAAACACTTGCCTTGCAAACACGAGGACCGGAGATTGACCACTAGAAGCTATGTAAAAAATCAGGTGTGGTAGCCAGCCCTTATAATCCCAGCTGTGGCAAGATGGCAGCCAGAGATGCGTGGGCATTCGCCCCCAGGCCCAGCTTCTGTGCTTACCGCTTGGCTCCACACACAGTCTGAAGATTCTTCACCTAGACTTGGGTTCTGACTTAAACACTCCAGAATCCTCTGAAAACTTCAGGTTTGGAATCCTCATTCTTGGGGTGGCCTCGCCCCCTCTCCTTCGCACACACTGTATTTTCTATGATCGAACACTGGCTTCCCTGTTCGTCTCTTGTCTTCTTCATGTCACCAGTGGTACCCACCTGGACCAAGGTGAAGCGGTGTAGGGCGTGTCATCTCAAGCCAGCTGCTAGGGGCAGCAGGTTCAGGCCCTTCCCAGCCGGCGGTTTTCGGATTGGCTATACCGTATACGCTGTTTCAGGTCTTAGCAGTTTCAGGACCCGGTTTGCACTTTGTAAACCCTTTGCTATGATTCAGTGAGCTTGCCAAACCCCTGCACTGTGGATATTTTGGCAACGCTGTGTGAACTCAGTAGGATACGATTACCAAAGCTTCAGACACCCCTCATTACTGGGATGGAGAAGGTTCTAGACATCAGTCATCCTGAAGCAGCTTGGGAAAGGCCACAGATGGCCTGCCTCTCCTGACTAAAGCAAACCATTGGGGCAGGCTGCTGTGGGGGGTAGAGGGGAGCAGACCACATGGTCCTGGGAGGAAGGATGAGTGATTTGATTTTGCAGTGTATACATTCTTTGTATAATGTACAAATTCATTTGGATAATCACTCAACTCCCCCTTTCAAGACTGCATTGTGAGTGAAATAATAAAAACAAGCCATGGCCATTAGATTCAGTCCTAACAGATGTTCTTAGTTAGAGCCCTCACAGTCTCCCAGCCCCATCCTCAGCCCATGGGTTATTAGTGAGCCAAGGACTAGCCTGAGCAACTGGGCCGTTTGAGACAACATGGCAGTACGGATTATCTGGCATAAGTAAGGCTTCAATCATCTTGAACTAACGGTTGAGTGTCTGGTCTGGGTCTGTGCTAATCCTTGGGGGGGTTGGCATGCCCCTCCTCCCTCATTTCCTCTGCCTCTTCCTTGGTGGTGTCCCTTGCTTGAGCCCCTCCTGCTGGCAAGACATGTCAGTGACCCTAGGGACTGTACTGGATGCAGTTCCCAGATCTCACTCAAGACTATCATGGCACATGCCACGCCACACCACCTTCTCTAGTCAGATACCCTTGTTGCATATTGGAAGGTTCCAGATGGTGTGCTCTTGCCATCTTGTTTCCCTCTGTGTGGTTGATGCCTGGCTCACCAGCCCTTGGGAGCCAGATCCCAAACAGCTGGCCTCAGAGGGCAGGCGCTGTATCCTCGGAGGCAGAGGGAGGCGGGCCTGCAAGCTGGGGAAATGATGGATACCAGGGAAACACAGGTGTCCTGTTGGTCAAGCTAACTCTGGAGCGGTGCAAAGAGCAAGGTAAGTTTTGTAAATACCCATTTAGATAAACAACATTTAGACAGAACATAAGGGGTGGCTGGCAGGCAGACGTGTGTCACTGGGATTGAGGGTTTGCGTCACATTCTCTGCTTCTTCTGGCAGCCCTGTTGGGAGATCCATTGCTAGCTGTCACTGTAACAGACGGCCACTTTCCTGGCCACCCCCCCACACACACATGTTGGACTGAAGTCATAAGACCCAGTAAGTTCTCCCTTGAGCTGTTTCTGTCAACTAGATGATCTGGGTGTGCAGCCTGGTGATGGGACACTGACCTACAGTGAACAAGGCTACATCAGAGGTGTTCTGTGAAGCCACCCATGTCACAGACACCAGGGTGTGGGACAGGACAGCAGCGTGCGGGTCAGAGTCAGGGCTATGACAGTGGTGATCTCTCAGGAGTTCCAGCCAGCACCGAGGGGCCCACATACAGACCAGGTGTTAGTGTTCAGGCACCTGTCCTGGCCCGCCTGTGGGGTCCTGACAGGATACGTTCTCAGCTGCAGCCACTAAGAGCACCATCTGTGCACATTTGCTGCAATCCCTTTTAAAGGTGGGCCTCGCCCATTCCTCTCCCCCATCTTCCCTCCCCCCCTCTCCCCAGGAACATCCCCAGGGAGCCAGGAGTTTAGATATCAGAGGCACTGGAACGGTCCCCAGGTGGGCATGTTCCTGTGGTCCTGTGTGCACACTGACCTAAGCCGGGTTTGCCTACAGATGAAGGCCTGAAGAACACCTCTTCCTGTTCAGAGATGCAGGGCCCAGGCACAGACAGAAGCAGCCAGTTTATGGGGCTGCCGAGCCCTTTCCTACTTTAGCAGGAAACCTACCTCCTCAGCACCCGCGCATAACAGCTCGTGCTGTGGGGTTGTTGGTCACAGCCTGCTCAGCATTAGTCATGGCTCAGCCAAGAGTGTCAGCCTGCCTCAGGGACCCTCAACCAGTCTCCAGACTAAGCGTTTCCACCTCTGAGTTGGCATAGGAGGCTGGCTGTGAGCCAAGGCTGCCTTTCCACGTGGGCTCCGGAGGTAGAGAAAAAGAAAGCGTGTGTGGGTTGGAGTTTGTGGAGCCATCTTGTAAAGTATCTTGACTAGCAAGCTGTGAGAGGTTGACAACTGTGTGTGTGTGTGTGTGTGTGTGTGTGTGTATGTGTTGTATGCATGTGTGTACATGTGCTTACATATGTGTGTTTTATGAGTGTCTGTGCATGTGTGTTGTGTGAGTGTGTGTGCATATGTATGTGTTATATGCATGTGTGTGCATATGTGTTTTATGAGTGTGTCTGTGTGTGTTGTTTGTTTTGCGCATATGTGTGTTGTACGTATGTACATGTGGACGCCAGATGCTGATGTCAAGATGTCTGTCTCAATCTCTTCCCCCACCTTAACTTTTCAAGACAGGTTACTCACTGAACCTAGAGTTTACCTTTTCTTGGCTAGGTTGGCTAGCCCGTGTGTCCCATGATCCCCTCTGACTCTGCTACCTCACCCAGTGAGTTGCAGATACTCTTCAGCCGTGGCCATCACTTTTACATGGCTGCTGTGAGTATGAACTCGGGTCTCACGCCTGCACAAGCAAGCATTTTAGCCACTGAGTCATCTCCTCAGCCCTAATGCAAACACGTTCTAAGTAAGTTTTAGTTCATTTCTTTCTCTCTCGGCAGGGAAACAGGGGAAAAGGTTGGAGGTGGGTGGATGGTAACTTCTAAGGTTTTTCCGCTAAGGATAAGGGGGAAGGAGAGAGTTAAGTAGCTACTCCTTCTCTGTGGTTCCTGGTCTGGTGGTCAGGCCATGATTCCAGGCCAGGTTCCAGGCTGTGATTCTAGGACATGGTTGAAAGCTGTGGTTCCAGGCCATGGTTCTTAAAACACAACTCCAAGCCGTAGTTTGGGGCCAAGGCTGTAGTCATGGTTGCAGCCTCCCAACTCTCAGGTGAGGTTGTGAGCTGAGGCTGAGACCATAGTTCTCAGACCATAGATAGCATCAGGTCAGGGTTTTGAGGCTGCCACCCTAACATGGGGAACAGGTTGCTGGAGCCATGGGAAGTCTGACCGCCAGTCTAAAGAATACACGAGTGAAGGTTCCAGGCCCAGAAAGGAACTTTTTGATGAATATTATTTGCCCCATCTGAACATTAGTACCAGTTGCTGCTAATTTTTTTATGTTAATAACCGAGAAATGGTGAAAATGTACATACGCGCGCCTGTTAGTTTAACTGTCACAGTAACACTGAAGTGTCTCATCTTTTTTTTTAATATTTATTTTTGTTCTTATTTTACATATTGATCCCAGTTCCCCCTCCCTTCTTC